CCCACAACTCATTTCTTTCTCTGTAGTCATTTGGACCGTATACATTTGTGAGCACCCACATATAATCATCCTCTTGCTCTTAAACTTCATGAAAACCGAGTACTTTCCGATCAATTCCTCCAAACCTTCAACCACATCCCTCTTCCACATTGTTACAATCCCCCCGGAAGCACCCCATGAGGGAGCAACTACCCAGCTAATCCCCCTGGCTTTCCATACACTCCTTTCCCATTTGTTATTAAACTCCATTCTCTTAGACTCTTGCAACAGCACAATGTCTGGGTCATACCTCCTTATTATCTCTTTTATTGTCGCTCTCTTCCTTGCACTTCCAATTCCCCTCACATTCCAACTAAGAATCTTCATTCCGCTTCTTTTTTAAACCCCTTGCCACCTACCCACTACTTTCCCCATTTCCTTCTATCTCCTTTTACCCCGAGCTTATTGTCTCCTTCTACATCTCTCTTCAGTCTCTCTACTTCACTCAATCTCCTCTTCTTTGTTCTTATCTCCTTCATCTTCTGTAAGATTTCTTTCAATACATTCAAATCTTCCAACATACAAACCAACTTCCCTACAAATATCATTTAGTGTGATTTTGGATTGATATAGATTGGAGCTCTAAATCTGTAAAAGCTTTTCTTCAAACTTCTCCTAATCTTGAAATTAGAGAGAGAGAGAGGTGAGAGACTTAAAGAAAATTAGTACCTAATTCCCAATAACATCCCCTTAAAACTGAGATTAAGAGATGCTAAATAGTATCATATTTGAAAATTTTAGAATTCTATCTTTATTAATTTGAATTTTGGGAAGTTGTGAGCCTAACAAACTCCCATATCAGGCTGTCATTTATAGCTTGGAGATACTGGTGTATAACACCTTCCCTCTCCAAATCCTACCAACTTTAGAATTTCCTGGGTACGTGCCTTTCAAATGGAGAATAGAGTCGCTATGTTTCAAAATCAAATCGATTTTATGGAATTTACAAAGGACCTATTTCCTCTAAAAAAATGGGTGGCGACTTACTTGTTTGAGCCAGCCACAAGCTTCCTCGAGACTATAATGGGTAAAATTGGAAAAAAAAAAGAAAATAAGAAAGATCTAATCTAAAAAAAATTTTAGAATGCAGCCCATCCAAACTCTATAGATAAGGGGTTCAATAGCCATTTCAAGGGCTTTTAACCCATTACTCCCATGAAGATTCATTTTCTTTCCCATCTCTTCTCCACCCTACAATCAACAAACCCCCTTCTTCCCTATTGGACTTCCATCTCCAGCAAATTACATTAGCCTAATTCCTAATTCCGGCTAATTCTTCTTTCCCCTTCCTCTATGTTGTTTCAACTAGCCAATTCCTTAGATTTCCAGAGTTAGACCATTACCTCCATAGCCCTCTACTTCTATTTTATGTTTCACTTTTTCTAGTTATTTTGAATTGCTTTCCATTCTATTTTTATTTTTGGCCATTATGTGTTTTATTTTCATTTATAAATTTTTAATGCAACACCATCCATGGGCAAGTTGGAGATTTTGAAGCATTTAAGGCCATCCATGGGTCGCATATGATGATGGTCACATGTATGCATAGTCTCGACCCAAAAAAAGAATAGGCATCTATCAGGAAAAAAAGTGGTCACCTTGGCGCATGTATTTGTCAATGCGTCAAGCTACCCAATATTTCAAAACTGATTGTGTTGGTTATAATTATGTTGTGTTGTGTCTGGGTTAATAATTAAGCTAGGTATTGATCTAGACCAATAATTAAGCTGGGTTAATATATAGAGATCTGTTGTTTTTTTGTATATTTTTTTATGCTAACAAATGTACGCGTGCTTTGCAAGTAACAATTTTAAATGATGTTAATGACGATGATGATGATATTATTGTTATTATTATTATTATTATTATTATTATTATTATTAAAACAAATTCATTTCCATCATCAATAAAACAATTTCATTTTTGAGTTGACTTTAAAAGTTGTACTCCACATCCATCATCAATATAAACAATTATTGTTTATCACACTCATTTTATTTAATATGATTAATAGAAAATATTCATTTGACCCTAATGGTTGAATTTCTTATCAATGACTTGGATGGAGTAATAAAATGAGTATAGTTTTTGAAGAGTAGTTTTGACATTTTTAAAAGTTTTAAGTCGCACATGTCATCACATGATACAGATAACTTAAGGACTGCTAACAATAGCGACTAAATTGATAGTTTTTTAAAGTTCAAGTACTATAGTGGCACATTTTGAAGTCGGGGTACTAAACTGAGACTACCCCTACAGTATAGGGTACTAATCTAAAATTTTCCCTCGCTAAGTTTGTAAGATAAGTATCAGGTAGCCTGAAATCTGAAACACAAGTCATTAGTCGAAGTTTGGATTTTGGAATGAAGCCAAAAAAGTATATCGGCATTACATTAGGAGTTAGAACTCCCGTTTCAAGCAAGTTAATGTCAGTGAGCTTGTTTATTTTGTTTTGGCTTAGTTTCAAGTTTCAACGTTCTTCTACTTCATTCAAAATGTGATTTTACGATAAAAAACTTGCTTTGCAATTCGCTTGAAAGTGGATTAGCTGGAGACAAAATCATACACATCGGACTAGGCTACTTATCACATGCCAGTGCTCACTGTGGATCCCATCTGGGCCCATCTGATGTTCAGCCGTGATAGGTGGCGCAGCCCGGTGTGTACAATTTTGTCTCCAACTCAACCTGACTCACTTTTCCATGCCCTAATATTCCAATTCCACAAACAGTCTAAACCGATCACCATCCGGTTTGTCTCGTTGTGACTAAGTTCATACAAATGCAAGCACTCTAAATAAGAATACCATGAATTCTCTCTGCCATTGTCTCATCCTCTTCATTTTCTTCCCTAAGAACCCTTACTCTATATGAGTTTTATATTAGCAAAGAGCCAAGTGTAAGACATTAGAAAATTTTGGGTTGTCCAACACATGTCAAAAAGATTAATGCTAATAAACTAGAATCTACAACCAACAAGTGTATATTTGTAAGATACCCAAAGGAGTCCATGGGTTACATGTTATATGATGTAATGAACAAAGAGTGTTCGTCAACCGAAATACCCACTTTATGGAACAAAATTATATCCTCAACAAGAAATAATTCTAGAATAAACAATCAATACAATGAGTCCCAACAACACCATGTTACCCACACTTCCTAGAAGATCTACTCGAGTATGTACACCACTTATCCAATATAGTTATAATCAAGAAACATAGTTGATGGAAGCTAAGGATAGTGAGCTAAATCCTTTGACTTAGACAGAAGCAATGTTAAACATAGACTATAAAGCTGGAACACATGGTGTGCAAGCTAAAGTAATCAATATATGGACTAAAGAAGCTTCAAAGAGTTTGAAACCATCTGGTTTAGCTCAATGGTTAAACAATTTGATTTTGACCATTCATCAAAAATAAAAACAATTTGATTTTGACCAAAATTCAGATAAATTGTGTATTTACAAGAAAATAGTAAGAGAAAAAAAAAATCTTTCCTGTGTTCTATGTGTACAACTTCAGGGAATAATGCCCACCTAATCTAAATTAAATTTCCACTCCTTTCACTATTTCTTTGATGAGCAAAAGGGGAAACCTAGATTCTTACCCTAAGCAGAATTATTCATCTTATTAAATAACTTCTTTCTATTGGAAGTTTTTTATTTAATAAAAACCACAAAAAGGATTTAATTCGAGGATAACACTATGGATCCATTCGAATCGTGGCAATAGGAGTCTTGAATCAAAACCAGAACCAGTCATTTGGTTGGGTGGAATGGGATTCTGGTTCCCATTTGAGGAATGGACATTTCAACCTTCCCCCTTGGGAATGAGAATCTCATTCCAACCGGCAAAAAAAAAAATACAAGTGAACTAAAAACTCGAAAGCCCTAATTCTCTTTACCTAATGTCAATCCTCATTGGGAGTCATATATATCTTATGGAATCTTGTTTCAATTCCTGTCTGAACCAAATAGATAGGGAAGAAGCAATTCCGATTCCAAAGTTTTTTTTACTTTGATTTTGATTTTGATTTCGAATCCGATTCCAACCATGAAACAAAAGGACCCTATATTTTTTATCTTTGAGAGAGTTTTTGTGACTTGGCTTTCTTCAATATTGAAGTCCACATTTCCTTAATTAGAGTGAAATCCCCTTCTAGGTAGAAAGAACTGATGCAAAATTTGCACTACCAGTGTGTGCAATACTGCAATTGTGCAAATGAGAGTAAATTTTGTATCAGATAGGAGTACATACATTCAGCCTATTTGCATTCTTAAGCTTTTACACCAGTGCACAAACCAACCAAGCCTTATGTTCTTTCAATAGCTTCTCCGAAGCAGCTCAATTAAAGCTTCAGCGTTTCAGTCTTCTAAAACATGCCTCGTTGATGTGCTTTTGGGACCATCCTGGCCCTTGTACACACCCGTTACTACAAACTAGTTATTTTAAGTTTGGACAAGATTTAGCTCAAACAAATATAAACCTCCACTCCTAAACAAGCATGATGTTGGCCAATAAGTGCACTTTAATTTCCCTCCAGTCTCAGGATCTGATGGAAGGTCAAGCTTGAATAGGAAATGAATCTTTCAGATCAAGATTTTGGTTTACTTAATTATTTGGGAGATGGAATTAAGCCTCCCATGTTGTTCCTCCAATACCTAAGATAAAGGCTTGCCTTCCTATATGTAGCTTCTACATTGCTACTCCTAGCTGATGAATTTCATCCATAATCATTGTAACAATGTTTTTATGATTACTTTAGAAAAGGAGTTAGGTGGTTTAATTTACAATGAAATTTATACCCAGCCCTTGGAAGCATATGCATGAAATACATGAAACAAAAATATATAAAAAAAAAACTACTAATACTGACCTGCTAAGTGACAGCCCGGGTATGTATATGAAGCTTTTCTTCTTTCTTTTCTTTCTTTTTTTTTTTGATAATTGGGTATGTATATGAAGTTCCGCAACAAACCCAACCTCTTCATTGGCCTCAAGAATTACTAATTTTTTGATTGCTAACATTTTTTGGCCAAAACTTACAACAGAATGGGTTGTCATTGCAACGATTCAACCTTGGACAGAACAGAGAGCACCTGATTACTCTCAAATGAACATAAGCAATGAATGATTTTCGGGCATGTCGGCCAATGAACCCTTGCATCATATCTGATAAACTTTAAAAAATATTGAAAATCAATAGCTTCTCACAGGTCATCCAATTTAATGATAAACTCGTTATTCCAGCATATCCCCAGGGGTTCTGATCTGGCATTAGCTACCCAGTCACGAGGGTACTCATCTGACAATGCCTTGTCTAATGAGTCAGCTAAATGCAACTCCCATAAACGCATCCTGCAGACTCTCTTGTAAGCCTCATAACCAGCTGCTTTTAGTCCTTCTGAAATCATATCCATCAAAGCACTAGAACCAACTCCCCCTGAACTGATTACCTTGAGTAACACCTCAGCCAAACCAGGTGTCCAGAAAACTACAACAGCACAGCTCTTATCAACTAACTTGACCTCAAAATCTTCAGAGAAAACATCATGAGATGCATAGAGGATCTTCTTCAACACTCCAGCAGTCATCCCAACCCTGAATCCCCACAAGAAAACCAAATCCTCTGTGCTCACTTTTCTTGTTTTATTTGTAAAGACCAAGATGTCTCTGTCAATTGGTTCTTTGAGACTGGAACAGCAAGGATAAAATATGTTACCATGGTCTTCCATGACTTTATCTATATCACCATTCATGGTTTTGCAAGAACCATGAGTTATTTTCAGTATTGAGCCAAGTTTAGCAAACAAATGTGTGATTCTTAACACATTATGTCCATGCTTCTTTCTTTCATTTTCTTCAGCTGATATGCCTAAATAAAACCCATACATGGAATTAGAACATTTAGACCAACTATAAACTAGGTGCAACATTATGTGCAGACACGTACACATGGAGTAAAGTGGCTGACCTTGATGTGGAATCTCCATATCAAGAGGCACAAAGAACTGTCTCTTCAAGTAGGACATAGCTGCAGGCAAATTTTTTGCCCTACTTACGGGTCCAATTTCTTTCAGCAAATTGTTGACATCCAGGATACAGGGAAAAACCAAACGTAAGGAGCACATGAACTCATTCAGGTTTGAAGGCAGAGGAGCAATGAATTTTGAATGAACAAATGTAAATTCTGCATCACGAGATGGCATAAAACATTAATAAAATAGAATGAAATAGGTAGGCATAAAGTGACTACTGATAATAAATATAGAGATGCACCATTAAGGCAATCGAAGGCAATAATTGGTTTCTGGGAAGCAGATAGCACGTCAATAACTTCTCGAAAGCCACGAACTTGCTTGTTCCATTCCTCTTCAATATTTTCAAGCTCCTTCTGTAAATACAAATCACAATTATAAGATGGACAAAAGAGTTTCTAAGTGAAGGTATTGTTCCATGACTACGAAATATTGCACCTCCCCCTACCTCAAGAAGATTTTTGTCCTCTGGAGAACTTGTAAATACAACTCGTACTGCCTTTGGTCCACCACTCTTGTCTGGGATAATTAAAGGTACGAGGTCATCAAAGATCTCACTCAACATCTGCAACCAAAGAGTACTAAACTTTAAATACAGGGTTCCAATGAGACAACCTATATACGGCAACTGCCAAAGTACTTTGGGACTGAAATTTGTAACCATGAAGAGGCTGGCAAGACAAATAAGTTAGACTCTTTCAGCATCCAAACTAATTGTCATTTGGATAATTCCCAGGTCATTTGGGAAACTCCACTATATGACCTAACTAGCAGACCTGCTCCCAATGCACTGTGTCCATCCAACAGAAGAGATAAAATTAAAGAATGTATACCTCTAGTACAAGCTGCACTTGACGAGCATTGCAAACATCTATAGACATGCATGGCCTTGACCCATACAGTTCACCTCCTAAAATAAGTTTCCTCAAAGATTTGACAAGAAGTTCTGAATGAAATACAATAGATAAATAAATAAGAATGACCAAAAAAGGGATGAGTCAGGACAGCATAAAAAGTGCAGCATATTACTTACCATCAGTCCCCTTGTTTGGTTCTTTACAAGCATTCCTCCAATGCCTAACTCGTGCTTTAATCCTTTCTACAAAAACTACATCAGCAACTGATGAAGTAGAAGAGGATTTCACTAGATGTGAAGAGATTGGATTTCCAATTCGATCTTTTGCAGTGGATTCTTGTACTCTGGACAAGTATGATATGCCTGACATTAAAAGAAAAGGAAAGTGAAAAAGAAAATATCATCTGTTATTTTCCATTATAATCACAGACTAAAATGCTGATGAATTTCCTAATATTTCAATGGCATGTTTTGATTTCCATGGGTATCAACACAAAGTATTACAGGAATCGACATATTCCCCGTGAAAACTATTGGTCTTCTGGGATACTTCAAAAAGGGACAGCAGTATTTGGACTATTTCTTATTATGGTTCTTTTACTTGTGCTTCCTTTTTGACATTAATTCAGCCTGGTGATAGTCTTGGTTCACCTTTTCCTGTTAAGGAGGTTTAGAGTAAGCTTATTCCGCCTAGGATAGGAGGGTTTTGCTAAGAAGATTTTTAGGAAAAAACTAACATTTATGATTTACTCCGAAGAAAAAAGACCTAATTGGTGCTTTTTTTAGGCTAATGGTGATGCTTTCTATCACTTATTAATCTCTTCCCCCCCCCCCTTGTATCCTCATTTTGGTATTGATTTCTCTCTTTGTTTGGTTGTAGGTGGAACCCCACACCAAATGTACAAAACTTGTTTGTCTCTACTTTTGTCAGTTGGCCAAAGAAGCAGGGAAGAATTTTATAGAGGTGTACAACAGCTGTTGTTTGTAAAACAATAAGGGAAGAGAAGAATCTAAGAGTTTTTCTTTTTTGAAAAGGAGAGTAGGGATGCATTAATCAAAGCTATTACCATCAAAGTGGTCCATTGGGTGAGATCCTTGAACCTTTTCAAGGACATTTTTACTGTTGACTTGAATAGAAAATGTAAGAAAGTGGCTGATTCAGCCCCTCTTGTGGCTGTAATTAGGCCTTATTGGTCCCTGCCAAATGGTGGTTTCATAAAGCTGAACTTCGATGGAAGTAGTGAAGGAAAACCCAATCCATCAAGCGTTGGAGGACAATTCAGGAATGATAAAGGAAGAATTATTGCTCTTTATTCAGGCCCAATTGGCATGGGTGATTCTCCAAGGGCTCAAATCATGGCTGTGATGGAAGGCGTATAAAAGGCTAAGGAACTGAACATTCAAATATGATTATCAAAGGGGATTCAAAATTAGTAATAGGATGGCTGCAAAAGGAGGAAGTTGGTTGGTAGAACAATATTAATGAAAAAAGGAGATTCAAGTGGCTGTCATGAGGCATGGAAGTTGGATTATGGGTGAAAGAAATGCTAACTCCTTCATTGATGCATTGGCTAAACAATGAGTGAGAAGAAATCAACTATATTGGGCTTTGGTGTAAACATGATCTAGTTGTTGAGGGAGAACTAAGAGAGTTTATCTCTCCCTCTAATTGTGCTTTGTATCTCTTTGTTTTAATTTAATGAATCTGATTCGGTTATTCATCAAAAAAAAAAAAAAAACTATTTGGTTCTAAGTCAAATACACAATATATTATAACAAGATTTCATAACAATATTGTAGATACGAGGGGTAACTCTGCCAGTGTGAGCTTATCTTACACTGCTGGTCCCAAGCCCAGATAAAGGAGGGGGCGTCAGGTTGGCAGCCGGCACTAAAACTTTTATCAAACTCTCATTATATGGATCCCAAGACTTCAGATTTTATAGTTACTATGGGTCTTCACCTAGGTTCAGCACTAGCCCTTATTTATTTGCACTGATCATAGATGAATTGACTAATCATATTCAAGGGGAAGTTCCTATGGCATATGTTGTTTGCGAATGACATTGTTTTAATTGATGAAACTAATGAAGGATTAAATGCAAAATTAAGCTTATGGACAAATGCCTTAGAAACAAGAGGTTTTAAAATAAGTGGGACTAAAATAGAGTATATGACATGTAAACTTAGTAATATGAGTGTAAATCAAGATACTCTTAGGATTAGGGACCAAGAGATAACTCAATGTAACCATTTCCGGTACCTTAGTTCAATAATTTATAACGGAGAGATTGAAGAGGATGTCACCCAAAGAATTAGAGCAAAATGGGCAAAATGAAGGGTGCATCTAGACTTTTATGTGATAGGTGAATACCACTTAGATTAAAAGGAAAGTTCTATAAAACAGTTGTAAGGCCTGCTATGTTGTATGGAGCAAGGTGTTGGGCAGTCAAGAAACAACCATGTCCAAAAAATGAATGTGGCAAAAATGCAAATGCTAAGACGGATGAGTGGAAAAACTAGAAAGGATAGGATTAGGAATGAAGTTATTCGTAGAAACCTAGGAGTAGCTCCAATAGGTGATAAAATGAGAGAGAGTAAACTAAGATGGTTTGGGCACGTGCATTAGGGAAATGGCTGTGGAGATTTGGGCAAGAGGGAGAGAGGGAGGCGTTATGGAGGTGAGGTTTGGGTGGGAGTCAAGGTAGGTGAGGAGTTCATATGGGATAAGTGTATGGAAGGGAATTATGAAATTTAAACAGGACTTCAGAAGTTTAGATAAACTTAAAGTGGGGGAAGGGCTTAGGATAAGGTTTTAGGAAGATGAGTGGCTTGGGGTTGGAAAACTGCGTGAGGTGTATCCCAAGCTTTATAAGCTGACAAACCAGCAAGTAACCATTTTTTTTCTGATCAATAACAGAAATCATTTTATTAATGGACAATAATATTACAACATGCTGGGAAGAGGTAAATAGGCCTAACTCTCCCGAGAAAGAAAAAAGAAAATATGATTATAATACAGCCCAAAACATTTGTTCCCTTCCCACCCCTTGTTTCGCCTATGTATCTGCAAAAGCATTTGCAGTCCTCTTCACCCATTCACTCTGAACCTCCAACCCCCTAGTTAGCCATTTAGCCTCCCTTCTCTCATTTGCATATTTCCAGTCCATTGTCCTTCTGTAACCAACTTTGAGTCTCCTTCAACAATTAGTCTATGAATATTCAGCTCCTTTATCTTTCCTAAACCTTTCATTAAGGCACAGATATCAGCTCTAGTAGAGTCACCATTCCCAATGGAGCCTGAAAACAATGCAATCACCTTTCCATTCTCATCTCTGAACACCCATCAACACCCGAAGGCCCAGGATTACCTTCACTACTGCGTACTGCCATCAAAGTTCAGTTTACGCACCCTAGGCCTAGTGGGGACCACAAAGGAGAGGCAACTGATGAAAACGGAGCAGAATTTGCCACTTACAGCCATCTATTCAGCAGCATATCTGTAGAGACATCAGCTAACATATCCAAAGACTTCAGCCAATGCACCACCCTAACCATTATTACCTCAATGATACCTTCTTTGTTCCTCTCCTTACCAGAAAAAGTCCTAGAGTTCCTTTCTTCCCACATAGTCCAGAAATGGCAGCCCTCACACACCTCCACATAACCCTACCCCCTTTCTTAGGCCAAGGAAATAAGTGGCAAACATGCTTTATATATCTGGTGGAGGGGTCCAGCTGCAATCAAATAAAGAGATAAATCATTCCCATATATCAGAAACAAAGGGACAAGAAATTAGTAAGTGGTACGAGGAGCTTTCACCATTAGCCTTACAGAGGGTGCACCAGTTTGGGGACAAGCACCAATTTGGCCTTTTCTTTTGGAGTAAATCACATGTGTTACATCTTTCTAGGAATGCCTCCCAACAAAAAGCTCCAATCCTTGGAGGGATTGGCTCACCCCATATTTCCTTGACTGGGAAAGACTGAATAGAAATGTTGGACTGTTGTGCCAAGGATTTAAAGAAGGAAGCACAAGAGAAAACCCCAGAGGGGGATAAAGTCCAAATTCCACTATCCCTTTTTTACGGGTCCAAAACCACCCCATTCAAGATCTGTAAGTCCACAACCATTCCCAATTATGACTCCCTAAGGCCTCTTCTAAGACCCAAATCCCAATCATACCCAAAATTTGACTCAGAAGGGACCAAAAAATCAGACACACACTTCCCTTTGAACTGGGAGAGGGTGAATAAAGAGGGAAATTGGTCTTTCAAGGGTACATCCCCCGCCCACAAGTGTTCCCAAAATTTAACCTGATTCCCACAGCAAAGATAATACCTGATGTGTTGCAAAAAGGATGGAAGAGTGGCATGTATTGATTTCCAAGGAGAGGCCCGGTTAGTCCCAGCCATCATCTGCCTGTCCAAGAATACTCAAGATAACCTTGGTCCACAACTTATCCCTATCCTCACCAAACCTCCACAACAATTTACCCAACAAGGCTTCATTTTTCTTCCAGATATTGCCTAATCCTAAGCCACCCTCATCTCTGCACTTGGAAACTAACTCCCAATTCACTCTATGATCTCTCCTTTCCTCCCCTGGCTCCCATAAGAAATCTCTCATCAACTTTTCCAGCACTCTACTTATTTTTTTGGGATTCTAAACACAGATAAGTAATACACCAGCAAGCTAGCCAATGTGGACTTAATTAGAGTGATTCTGCCACCCAAAGATAGATAATTCTTCTTCCAAGAGGCTAACCTTTTCGTAAACCTATCAATTACGTGGCTCCAAAAACTATTGTTCTTCGGATTATCCCCTAAAGGCATCCCCAAGTAAATCATAGGCCACTGTGACATCTCACATCCCAAAATTTCAGCCTTATCCCTCATTTCTCCTTCTTCCATGTTCACCCCTACCACACAGCTCTTATCAAAATTAACCTTCAAATTTGACATTTTTTTTCAAATAATTGCACTACTCTCTTCAAATTTCTAACCCACCTCACATCCTCCCCTTTATAGAATAGAATTGTGTCATTAGAAAACTATAGATGTGTGATAGGCAACCTATCTCTTCCAACCCTCCACCCCCTCACTAAGTTCCTCGAATCTGCCCTCTCTATTAGTTTCCCCAACACTTCTGCTATCTAAGTAAAGAGAAATGGGGAAAGGGGGTCCCCTTGTCTAATTCCCCTGGTAGCTGGAAAATGATCCACTATAGACCCATTCACCAAGATTGAGTAATGATAGGTCTCAATACATCCCAGGATCTATTTGCACCATTTTACCCCAAAGCCAAAGCAGTCCATCACTTGCATTAAGAATGACCAATCCACCATGTCATAAACTTTCTCTA